AGGCACTCGAAGCACTTTAATAGAAAAATAACAGCTAACATGTCCTGTGTGCTTATTACATAGCAGGCACTCCTCCCAGCTCTTCATGCACATGGATGCCATGTTATGCTCAAAACAGTCCTATAAAAATGGTACTATCATTACTGCCCTTTATGAATGAAGTTAGAGACACTGAAAAATCTCTTGCCCAAGGATTCAAAACTAGAAAAATGGCAGAACCAGGTATCCCGTCAAACAGTCTTCACCGCTGCCGTCAAACATCTGGAGCAGCTAATCTGAGAAAGGAATCTAGCTTGGATTTAATTGATTTTAACTATAAATGCTACTAATAATGCTACTTTTAGTATGCTTCCCTACTTGCCATAAGCAGTGCCGTTATCTGACTCATTCAACGCTGTCATCCCGGCACGCAGGGCGGCGCCTGGAAGCGTGTGTATGGAAAATAAATATTTATTTCTTTGACGATCTAGTTAAGGTACTTCGGCTGAAGACCCGCAGAGTCACAACAGGGGCAATTTCATTCGATTTAGAAATAAAGCCAGAAAAATAGGCTCCTCCAATTTCCGCGTCAACTCAGGACTGGTCCTGGAGGTGGGGGGCTCCGACCAGACCACAATCAGAAAAGCCCAAGGGCCTCGCCACAGTCTTCCTACGGAAATGGGGCGCCCTAGGGCTCGGGGGTTTGGGGAGGCCGCGAGGAATCTGGGCACCAGCCCGACCGGCCGCTACCTTGAGGATCTCGCGGCCACCCACCGCCAGCGCCACGTGCCGGCTCTGCAGGTCGCACCGGACATCTTGGGCGCGAGTGCCTGGCGGCACCTGCACTTCAATGAACACCTCCTCCAAGGTCTGATACCACTGGCCCCAAGGCGTCCCGCACGGAACCACCCCACTGCGCTCCTCGAAAGGGGCCGACATACTCCAGGTGCCTCCCGGCGGCGGCGGCGGCGGCGGCGGCACAGAGCGAGCGGAGCGCATGCGCCGAATCCCCACGCTCGGGCCACGCCCCGGCCTCCCGGCTCCGGTTTGCGCTCGGGTCACGGCTCATGCGCACGAATGTAAGCTGACATCTCAGCGCATATTTCCCTTTTCATTGGCTACTTAGGACGCTGGCAGGGCCAAATTTGAAACAAGTGAAATCCGGAAAAGTTTACATTTCCAGAAGCGATAGGAGACGGTTGGAACCAGGGAGACGGGAACTCACCGCCACTTTTGTGACGCCACTGGTCGTCTTTCAAAGTTCTCCGATTTGAAGTGCGCTTGCGCGAATGCTGCTAGTGTGTAGGTTACAATTGAGTAACGCCAGCCGTGATTGGGCAGGGAGGGGGCGGGGCGAGAAGACAGTCATGCTCTCCTATAGGCTGGTAGCCTAGACTCACAAGCTACCTCATTGGATGCGCCGAGAGCTGAGTACGCATGCTCTTCCTGTTCCTTTCCTGGATTGGTGTGCCGAGGGCTTTGGTTTTCCAATTGGCTAACGTCGGGATGGGCGGGTAACGAGCCGGGAGATTTGAATTTGAAAGCCAGTAATGCCAGGATCAGCACCCGGAAGTTGTGGAGGAACGCTAGTTCCCTGCGGCTTGTGGAGCTAGCTGGTGATCATCATGTCCTTTCCTAAGGCGCCCCTGAAGCGATTCAATGACCCTTAAGGTGCGTACGGGGGAAGGGACTGGGGGACCGGAGTTGCTCTCACGCCCCTTGCCCCCTGCGGTTCCCCCTGTCAGAGGGCAATTGGAGGCGATTTGGGAGCTGGCATGGGGATCATTCAATTGATTAATTGTTTTCTTCTTAAATACATATTATGCATTTACTACATGCCAAGCATAACTTAGGATAATAAGAATACAGCCTATAACGGTGCTGTGTAGACACTGAAGCAGAGAGAAGGAATAGGTGTGACAAAACGTTGGTAGCTATTGGATGGTCCAGTGCGGAAGGCCTTGCGGTTAAAAGAAAAGAAACACCTGACCATGCTTTTTGTCTGTACGTGTGGATTTCTTTTTGGATATTCCATTCAGGCATAAAGGAAAGAAGGTTGGTAAAGGCAGTTTGTGGTGGTATCGGAAACACTATAAATGAAGTGATGGCAGTTAATAGGGACGATCTTTACATAGACGATTAGTTCTGTTTTAATGCCCCAGCATCCTGGAGAGGTGATCCTATTCGTTATTTTACTAATAAAATGACCAAGACTTAGATTTCCTGTGTTACGCAACCGAACTGCGCCTTCTCGAAATCCATCCGGTGCTCTTAACCACTGCAGGTGCATACGTGCAACAACCAGGAAACCTTGGATGTGGTTGGTAAGACCATCATTTATTACAGGCTGACTTTTTCTGCAGGGACTGTGCTAAGATTTTTCCTCCTAGGTCTGGTTTATTTTTTCCAACAGCCAAATGAGGAAGGTGCTGGTACTGTCCTTATTTTACAGATGAGGGAACTGAGGGGTTTTGTAACTGTACTACTGAGCAGCCTGTAAGTGGTAGAGCTGACCATGATTTATCCATTATAACATACACTTAGTGGCCACTGTCTTTAATCTCTGTCAGACAATATGGAAATGGGAATGTTCTTATTCACCATCTTCTCCCAATGACTACACTGTATCTGGTACATAGTAATGCCTGTCGATTGGCAGACAAAGCTGGATTTGAATCCTAATCTGCCTGATTACAAAATCCTATTCCATCTGCCACATCCCTAGTGACTTTCTGTGTTTTCACCACACTGCTCACCTCAGCCCTGAGCTAAATACTGGGTATACAGTCATGATTAAGACAGTCTCTACCTCCAAGCAGTTTGCCTAATGTGGGAGATGGATAAGTACATTGTCTACTGTGGGGAAGTGGAGAAGTACACTGTATAAGTACATACACCGTTGCAAACCTGGGAAGTTCTATGAGAGGAATGATTTGCACAGGCTGCTGTGTGGTGGTTATAACCTGATTGGAGGATGCAGAGAAAACTGGAAGAGATGACATCAGGCTGAGATCTGCAGGATAAGTGAGAGTTAGCCAGACAAAATGGCAGGTGAACTAGCCATTCGAGGTGGAAGGAAAAGAAACTAAAAAGTTCTGGAAGTTTGAAGCATTTATTTAATGCAATGCATAGAATGTTTATGTGCAGACAAAAGTATCGCCGGACTGCCTGTGTTAGCTTCTGATTATTGTTTTTTTTAAATATATTTTTATTGATTTCAGAGAAAAATTTGCTATGTGTGAGTACACGGATATTTTCTGTTGTTTCACTGTTTTAAAAAAATGCTAGTGAGGATGTACCAATGAGCTTTTATCATCCCATTTGAAAAACACTTTGGAGGTAGTAGGAGTTGCTTTGGGATTGCCAAATCCTTGCTGTTCCTATTTATTTGCATGGAGCTCTGAAGTAAATAGCTTTTCAGAGAATAGTATAACTCTATTGACTTCCAATCAAATAAAGCTTTATGCTAATGACATTTTTGTTATTTTGAGTCCTGAAAGCCAGATCTTACATTGGCTACGCATAAGCACTCTGAAAATGCCTTTAATTTGGGGCTCCAGTTACTTACATGAGGTTATAAAATACAAATTTCTGAGACATACAAATATAGTCTATGGCGTTATAAATTTTTTGATATATTGATATTAGGCAGAGATGGGTTATCACTATACATTTTTTTCCAGCCTAAATCGTGAGGGCTAGACAGTTTTATTTGCTTCATTTCTAGAATCTGGTGATAGTTAACCTCAGTGACTCTGAGTAGCGTTGATTCCAATTATATAATTTCTTATAGTCAATCCTTAAAAAGAAAACCATGTTGCTTGTTCTTTCATAATGTTCATCCCAAGACTGTCTTTGCTGTTTTGCTCAGTTGCCTGTATTCCTTTGACCCAATTGAAATAAAGGGCATGTGGGAAGATGATATTGTTCCTCATATCAAATGGGTGCTGTTTTTACATTTGAAAGAACAAAGTGTCTATTTATAGCATTTTTACATTTATATCACTCACTTTGCTTTGCATGTTTTCACTTAGGATTCTAAGTGACATTAGAAGAAACATTAATGTTTTCTGTTTCTCTAGGTTGTGCACCATCTCCAGGTGCTTATGATGTGAAAACTTCAGAAGTATTGAAAGGACCAGTATCCTTTCAGAAATCACAAAGATTTAAAAAACAAAAAGGTACTGGATCCCAAAATAAAATAATGGTTATATGACCTCGTAAGTTTTAAAGTTATGAATAATAGTATATACATTTAAAGCTGTTATGGTATTTCTAAAAATGTGAAACTATAGGTATAGTTAAATTTTTGTATTTGAAAAATAAGTTTTGTATTTGATGGATTTATAAGAGAATAATGCTACAGAATAATGCTTTTGTCATTACACTCTTGTATAATCAGGAAAATTATACAAAACACATAGATATGTTGTTTTCCTTTATATATATAGTATTGATTTCAGAGAGGAAGGCAGAGGGAGAGAGAGATAGTAACATCAATGATCAGAGAGAATTATTGATTGGCTGCCTCCTGCACGCCCCCTACTGGTGATCAAGCCCGCAACCCAGGCATGTGCCCTTGACCGGAATCGAACCTGGTACCCTTCAGTCCACAGGCTGATGCTCTATCCACTGAGCCAAACCAACTAGGGCTCATTTCCCTTTTGCTAATTACCTTAGCCTTCTGTCAGGGAACATTAGGAAAATCAGAAAAAATGTTAGATGTGTAAAATATATTGTACAACTAATTATTTAGAAATGTACAGCCAAGAAAAGAATAACATATTGCTTCACTAATAGTTGCAATAAGAAATTTTGAAATTGTGTTTTGTCTGTGGTACAATTTATTGCAGAATCTCAACAAAATCTTACTGTTGACAAAGATACCACCTTGCCTGCTTCAGCAAGAAAAGTTAAGACTTTGGGATTAAAGGTGAGGTGATCTTACGTTCTACCTGTTTTATGAACTGTACCATTTCAGTTTGTCTTTATTTCTTTGCATTTTCCCCCTTCTTTTGGGCCTGTAAGTTTAAGTTGATTTCTCTTTGTAAGATTCTTTTCTTTATGAGATAGCATAATTAAAAATTAAAAATGTATTGCTGTTTAACATTAGAAAGAAGCAGTCAGTAGCTTTCTTCATAAAGCTCCTCCTCTGTTCTCGGACTTTTTAAGAAAAAAACCCCACAAATCTAATTTTATTGAGATAAAAACTTTTAAGCCTGAAATATTTTAAGAGTTAAAGAACCTTTTTCCTCATTTACTAAATCACCTACAAAGTATGTAATAGACTCGGGGAAATTTTTAAAATAGAAATTAACTGTTTGGAATCCTTAATCTTTTCTGATAACTAAAAATAAAATTCAGCTATGATGTTTGTGGCACTAAAATTTGATCATCACTATTCTTTGACTTTTTAATAGAAGGAATCTCAAAAGAATGATAAAGACTTGAAGATGTTGGAAAAAGAGGTAAGCAATGCTTCCAACTTATTGAAAAACAAATGTGCTGTGTATAATGGAAAGAGTTACATAGAATTAAGAGACAGGGATTCTGTTGCAGTTTGAGGAGTCACACTGGATGGCAAATATACCATTTAGACCAGTGCCTACAGGGTAATCATCCCTTGGCTTGGACACCCTATATCAGAGCCTTGGGTGTCTGTGTGGCCTGCTGACAAAGTCAAGTTGTTAGCCTACTAAGGGACAGGTTCAAGGTAACCCATTTAATGAAAAAATGATAATGAAAAATCAATATGTTGGTTTACTACAATTATATGTAGATCCAGTATTTACATTTACTTTTCCTGTATGCTACTCTGCATGTTAAGACAATGACTAACTGGGGAATTTCTTAGTGAGCATAAAATCCTAGCAGGTTAGTTAAATGGAGTTCTAATCTGATGCATTTGTCTGCACCAGTGGCATAAACCTCCCTCAAGGATAAAATGATATAGGGCTGCCCTGTTACATGGTACTTACTTACCACATGTGACTATTTAAAGGAAATTAAATTAAGAACTCAGTTCTTCAGTTGCACTAGTCACAGTTCAAGTGTTCAATAGCCCCATGTGAGGGGAGGCAACCATACTGGACAGTGCATCTCCACCATGGCAGAAATTCCTATTGAGCTGAGCTGACCTAAAGAACCACTTACTTCCCTAAGCAGGGCTAAGCTGGTCACTGCCAGCTTTGCTTTTCCGGCAGTAATTTCTCCATGTTTCCATTACTGACTCTTTCTGGTGGACATATTCTTTTGATTTATTAAAACTTTTCATTGATTACAGTAAAATATTGGCTTAGGACCAAGAATATGTCCAGGTAACTTTGCAAATCTCTGCCCTGGTTGATCTGATCCTTTTGTATTTATTTTTAATAATATTGGTTATGATTTTATTTATTTTTGTTATTTTATTTTTTAAGTTTATTTCAGACAGGAAGGGAGAGGGAGAGAGAAATAGAAACATCAATGGTCAGAGAGAATCATTGATTGGCTGCCTCCCGCAGGCCCCCTACTGGGGATCAGTTCTGCAACCAGGGCATATGCCCTGACCTGGAATAGAACTGTGACCTCCAGGCTCATAGGTCGATGCTCAACCACTGAGCCATGCTGGCCAGGCTATCATTTTATTGAGGATACATGAAAGGGATGAATGGAGGGCGGGGGGGGCAGTAATCAGTGAATCTCAGTTAGATAGCAGGTAAGTGGCAGTGCCAGGATTAGAACTGGTCACTTGGGGCTGCCCTGTTACATGGTAGTTAATCTTTTAGAATGGAGATTTTTAGCAAATAAAGCTCTATTTTATTTAAGCCCCAAAATATTTGCTGTTGTTTTTTTAACTTGAATTGGTTGTTAGTATTCAAATGGAAAGTTTCATGGAAAACAAATTCAAATTTCTGCCTTCTGTTGCAAAATCAGATCTGAAAACACTGTTTCCACTTTCCCCTCCTGGCCTGTGCAGGGCTGCCTCTTTAGATCCCCACATTTGCTCTTTGGCCCTCACCTGGCTCTCTTCACTTGTTTATGTTTTCTGCTTAGCCATGTAGGTATTTGAGTTTACAAACCTTTTTTTTTTTTTTAACTTAAGCTTCTTTTCTTGCCTCCCCTTCCCCAATACGGGGTGGGGCCAGCTGGCCAACCTCCTGCAGTCCCTCCACCCGGCTGGCCCCATCCCTGATTGTCCCCACCACCCTGTTCACGGGCAGGGCCGGCCAGCCAACTGCCTGCGGCCCCTCCCCCCAGCCAGCTCTGCCCCCAATCGGTCCCCCCACCTCAATCAGGGGCAGGGCTGGCGGCCAAACACCCATGGTCCCTCCCTCAGGTTGCTGGCCCCCTATCGGACCCCCACACACCAATCGGGGTTGGGGCTGACCAGCCAACCTCCCACGGCCCCTCCCCTGGCCCCATTTGGGGGCAGGGCCAGCAGGCCCACCACTCTAACTTAAGCTTCTTTAGTTGCAAAAAGTATGATGTAGATTATCTCAGTGTTTATTTTTCCACTGTATCATACTATGCTAAAAACACCATTGATAAAGCAATAATGTAAGCATAGCGAGTCTTATGGTAGGGACTCTTAAAGCCCAGTCAGTCCCTAGCCTCTAGTTCACAAAAGTGGTGCTTAATACATTTTTAGTTAAGCAATGTTAGCTTAAAATACTGAGATTAGTATGAATACAAAGCCAGTAAGAATGCAAAATACTTTCCATGCGACTTACTACAGCTATGCTTTCTTGATACTTTTATACCCAGCAAATAGTCTAGTTTGGTAGATGTTTTCTGTGCACTAGAAAAAAATATGTATGCACTTGTTAGGTATAGTGGTCCGTATATGTCAGTTCAAGGTGGTTAATAGTTCTGTTCAAATATTTATACTGATATTATTCTATTAGTTACTAAGAGGTACTTTTAAAATTTTAGTTCTGTGAATTCATCTATTTCCCTTTTAAGTCTGTCAGTTTTTGCTGTTTATATTTTAAAGTTATATAAGTGCACAACAAATTGAAGCCTGTGTCTTCCTCCTGAAATGATCTTTTTCTTAAAACAAACAATATTTTTAATGATTTTATACAAAGAGAGGAAGGGAGAGAGAGAGAAACATCTATGGGCGGCCTCTTGCATGGAACTGGGAATCCAACCGGTGACCTCTTGATTCATGGTTTGACATTCAACCACTGAGCCACAGTGGCTGGGAATGCTTACAGATTTTTAAGATGTGTCATAAATTAAATATGATTGTTCACGCAGAGCATCATGTCACAGTAAGAGATTTTCCTAGAACTTTAATGTTTTAATTACCAGTAGCAGCTAGTTACGCTGGCGTTGTGTTTGTGAATCGTTCACTCCTCACCTGTTTCCACCCAGATTCGTGTCCTCCTGCAGGAGCGTGGTACTCAGGACAAGCGTCTCCAGGACCTGGAAGCTGAGCTGGAGAAGATGGAAGCAAAGCTTAGTGCTGCAGTCAGGGAGAAAACGTCTCTCTCTGCAAGCAACACTACGCTGGAAAAGCAGCTTACTGAATTAACCAGGACTAACGAGCTACTCAAATCCAAGGTATTTGGGCCACATGATAATACTGACAATTGAATAAGTAAGAAACATGTTT